CCCGCAGGAGCACCAGGGCAGGCAAGTCAGGGCCCACCCTCTTCTCTGTGGTTCTGAGGATCATGGGCGAAGCTGAGAGGGGAGACAGATCCAGCCGCTGGACGGAGGAGCCGCTGGTGACCTTGGGACAAAGCTGGAGGCCAGACTGAATGACAGATGCCACTGTGACAGGCGACGATGACGATGACTTCGCCTGTCCATGCCTGGGAGCCAGCAGGACAGTGGCCCCGGGCTTGGTGGGCAGGGGTGGGGGACCACTCACTGGCAGGCCCAGGTTCCGCCATCCAGGGGTCAAATGTAGGTTTAGGTCTAGACTATGAGGTTACGGTTCTCGCGTGGATGACTCTGTGGCCTGAAATGTGGACCTTCTGTACAGCCACTCACCAGCTGCGTAGGAATTCAGTATGGCAACCGCCCTTCTTTGTAAAGGTTTCCTCTTTGCTGGCGGCCCCCAGCCACTCAGGCCCCTCTCTCCGGCCTCTGTTTAACAAGCCTCTCCCTTCTCGGGTACCCAGGCCTTTGTTTGGCTACTTGGGGCCTCTGGGTAAAGGTTTTTCTCAACACTTCCTCATTTTCTCACATTCCAGGCAACATGCACTCTATTCTTAGCAGCTCTGCCCTGCGTGGGTGTAGTCACTTTCAATGTTGTTAGTTCATAAGATTGAGATGGCCCCTCGGGCCTCATCACCTGGAAAGCAGAGCTCCTGTCAGCAGAGAGGAGGGTCTCTACGGCCCACAGCTCCCCACCTCCCCGCCAGCAGCAGAGAGGAGGGCAGCCTGGGTGAGACCACAGGGCCATGTGCCGGAGAGTTCATTATCCACCACTCGGGGGTTGGGGTGGAGGTGGGACGGGGGTTCTTCCTTCTGCAGCCCGCGGTGTGGCCGAGAGGGTCAAGCTCCCATAGGGCCCCTGGCTGCCGCCATCTGGGCACCACGGATCCTTCTCTTCCGGGCACGTTGCTGTGTCATAGGCTGGGGAACTTGGTGCCCCCTGGGTTCCCTGTGGATTTATGGAGCAGACTACACAGACCACAAGGGGGAATTCCTCCCAAACATCTCCAGTGCCTGCTTTCAGCAGCGGAGAAGGGAGGGTGATACAGGAAGTGACGTTGCCAGTAGTTGGGAGAGGAGAACCAATTTTAAGAGACCTTGACAAATCAGAAATGCACAGAGAAGATGACATTCAACGACACAGACCCAAATCCAAGTGGAAAGTACACCCTCGGTGCAAAAGACCAATTCCCATAGAGGGGAGGGAGGGGCTGTGTAGGCACACGTATGGTGGCGGATAAGGTCACGAGTGGAACTGAGGCTGAACACACGCAGGACAGCGGTGCTGTTTTCTGATGGGAAAAACCATAATGGTGGGATTACTTTTTTTTTATGCTACATACAAGAACTTTTCCTATTCTGCATTCTAGAGCAGGTTTGGAGATTTCAAAAAAGATCGAAGGGATAAAAATTGGTTTCTACAAGCCCAGCCAGCATGGCCCCGTGGTTGAGTGTCGACCAGGAGGTCACGGTTTGATTCCTGGTCAGGGCACATGCCCAGGTTGCTGGCTCGATCCTCAGAGTGAGGCATGCAGGAGACAGCCGATCGATGATTTTCTCTCATCATTGATGTTTCTCTCTCTCTTTCCTTCTCCCTTACTCTCTGAAATCAATAAAAATATAATTAAAAAATTTGGTTTCTGCAAGAAAAATCAAGTGGATTGGAGTTGTTACGTAAACAGGAGAAGTCAAAATTGGGGCTTACTGCCTATGTTTAAGAATGCCAAAGGTTTGGGGGTCTACAGAGGTGCAAGGAAAGCTCAAAAAGCATGCACAGAATTTATTGATAAGTGAAGTTGACGTTAGAGGTGGAGAAGTTACATCCAGAGCCAAGGGCAGCCTCTGACTTTCAGGACGATGAGTTCTATGTGGGCACAATCCCTCTGCACCCGGAAATGTTCCAGGACAGATGGGGGCAGCCCAGCCTGAGGCTGAAACACAGGAACGCTTGGGGCAAATGACCTTGGTCCGAATACTGGATCTGCCATTTAGCGTGTGACTTAGGGCAAGTTATTTCATGTCTTTGTCCCTCATCTGTATAAAGGGGGTGATGATAATAATGGCACCAATGTCACAGGATGGTTGTGACTTAGGTGAGTTAGTATCTTACAGTACCTGGCGCACAGTAAGCTTTTGCCACTTTTGTTTGTTTGTTAATCCTCACCTGAGGATACCTTTTCCATTGATTTTTTGGAAGAGTGGAAGGGAGGGGGAGAGACGGAGATAAACACGGATGTGAGAGAGACACATCGATTGGTTGCCTCCCGCACGCACCCCGAACAGGCGGGGGATCGAGCCTGCAACCGAGGTACGTCGGAATCTATTCATGGAGCCAAACCGGCCAGGGCTGGCCATTATTTTCAAATGATCCGAGTTCTTCCACCTGAAAGCAAGGAACCTGCCATCCACCGGTTCATTCAATGTTTACATTCCGGGCATAGGGGCAGCTTACAGATGGCCTAGGCCCGCACAGGAGAGGAGTCCCGCGCACCGGAAGTTACGTCACGACCCAGGACGCGCGTGGGCAGTCCCTTCCGGTCCCTGCTGCGACTCGGGGACTGAGGCACCCGGGGCGCCTGTGAGAGCCTCGCTCAGGTGGGTCAGGGGGGCCCGATTCTTGTCTCTTAAAGACCCACGCCCCCTTCTGTGATGTTCTGAGTATTTACCGAGCGCTTTCTGGGTTCCGAGTACTTTTGCATTTAATCTTTGCATTGAGTCTGATGGAGGGTCGGAGGATTTTGTTATCTCCATCTTAAAGGGGATGGAGTTGAGACAACAGGGAGGGTGCGTGACCTGCCCAGTGTCACGGGCCAGCACGTGGCGGAGCCGGGATGCTGAGCTGCAGGTGTTGGGTCTGCGCAGCTGCAGCCCTTTGTGCGTTCCCCATTCCTCCGGGGCCTGGGCGCTCCCGCCTCGGGCTGGTGCCGGAGGTGCCGGGGGTGCGAGCGGCAGTGTGAGGGTCAAAGGGCTCAGGCAAGGAGACAGCCAGGGGTGCAGGTGGGGCCGTGGGGACGCTGCTCCCCCCACCCCCCCAGGCCATCGGACTGCTCTCCCCCTCTGACCTGTGGCCGAGCCCAGCCTCCCGCAGCCGCAGCCGCGTTCCTGCGTGAGCCCAGAGCCTCAGAGACGGAGACGGAGCTAAATAAAGAGGCCGCGCTGTGGGAACCGAGCCGGCTCCCTGCCCCACGGCGCGGACCTGCGCTCCCATGACCCGGCCGAGGGCTCCCGCGCAGCCAGGTTCCAGGTTTCCCACGGCGGCGGAGGCCTCTGGGAGCCCCGTCCCTGTGGGAAGGACCCGGTGACCACGCGCTCCTCCCTCCCAGGTGGCCGGGGCTGGTGGGAAAGAGACGGCCCCCGCCCCGGGGACCGGTTCCAGGCAGGTCACAGCCAGGTCGGCAGCCAGGGCTCCGTTAGTCAGAGGCACGTGCCTGTGAGACCCAGGGAGCCACCAAGAAACCCAGGCCCGCGTGCCCGCTGTGCCTCTCTCTCCCCTCCGGCCTCAGGTTCCTCTGGCGTAAAATGGGGAAAAACTCGCCCCTCCCGTGCACGAGGTTGTCCTGTCACATGCACACAGGAAGTGGCCACATCCTCGTCTTCTTCCTAATGGTGCAGAGGTCACGGATGACTTCAGGGACCAAACGGGATCGTCTCCATAAAGCCCCTGGCACCTTCCCCAGACTGGCAGCTCTCTAAGGAGCTGGGGGTCTCATGCCCCCGAAGGTGTCACCTTTCCGTGCAGAGTGGCAGGGCTTCGGTTGGGGCCATAGGTCACGTGTCCCTTTTTAGCAAGAGCTGAGGTAGAGGAGGACCCGCTGTCCGGGCAGGAATTCAGTTCCTAGTCCACAGCCCGGCCTCTCCACCAGGCTCACGCCTCAGTGACTCGCGGGCAATGACAGACCAGCCAGGGACAGAGACTTTCCCGGAAAACCCTTTCCCTTTCTCAGGGCCGAGCGGACAGGGCCTCCCTCCTTGAAAAAAAGATGCTTTGAGCTCCTCCACCCCCACCCCGCGCATTGCTCCCAGCTTCCCAGGAACAAGCCCTGGCTTGGGAAAGCCGGCTTCGGGCCCAGGGATGTTTGTGCAGGGAGGAGGTGGAGAGTTTCAGGAGCTTGATTCATCGGCAGCAATCTCGGTCAAACAGGTTCCTGCAGCTTCTCGAGGCTCTTTGTTCCATTGTTCCCAAGAGCCAGACGGGCCTCCCCACAGCCTGGAAGGGGGTGGGGGTGGGAGGAGGGCCCTGGAGTCGGGCCAGCAGGCTGCTGCCCATGGATGGCATTTCTGTTCACAGCACCAGGGAGCCGATTCTGTTTCACTGAAGCTTGTCCACCTCGGGCACTTGGCCTCCTTTGCTGGTGTCTCCTCCAGGGGGCGGAGGGGTGGCCAGAAGCTGTAGAAAGAAGCTGGAACCACACTGGCTTGCTTTTTTTTTTTTTTTTAACAAGGGCTAGATATTTCTGAAGAGTTTTTCCAACTCTGCAAGTCAGTGATGGGGAAACTGGGACATCGTGGACATTCAAACACTCTAAAAAAACTAGGGGGGTGGGGGGGTGCTGTCAGATAATTTGGAGCATAGATTTGGTTGTGATACAATGGAATATTATTTGGCCCTGAAAAGGAACAAAGTATGGATACACACCACATAAAGGAGGAACCTTGAAACGTTACGATAAGTGAAAGATGCCAGACCCCCCCCCCCCCAAAGGGCCACATACTACATGATTCCATGTAAATGTGCAGACCAGTCGAATCCATAGCGACGGAAATTGGATTAGTGGCTGCCAGGAGCTGGGGGAGAGGCCAGGGGGTGATTGCTGACATGTTTGGAATGTCTTTCTGAGGTGATGAAATGTTCTGGAGTTAGACAGGGGTGCTGTTGGCACAACTTTGTGTATGTGCTAAAACCACCGGCTTGCACACTTTAAAAAGGTGAACAGTGTGGCATGTGGATTGTATCTCATCTTTTGAAATTATATGGTAAAGACAGTCGGGGTTTTGTCTGTAGGGGACTATGGCAGTTGGTCAGTCATCTGCCTGGCGGTATTTGCTGAGCACCTACTGTGTGTCAAGGCCCGTGCGGGGCAGTCTGTTCCTCCTTCAGGAAGTCCTGCTAACTCTTGGTGCCCCTGGGCAGTTTCTCTTCTCCGAGGCTGTTTCCTCATCTGTCCCTATGCACGTCCAAGAGACTCGGACCCTACGAGCACCACAGAGCTCCTCATCCCCCGGAGCAGTGGCTCCCAAACCCGGTGGAGCCTCAGAACGTGCCTCAGAGCTCCGTGACATCGCAGGTCCCCGAGGCTCCGTTCCCGTCGGCCGAGTGGCCGTGGTGCCTGTGGTTCTCTGCCCTGTCAGGTTTCAGAACCCCTGCCCAGGCCTCAGAGCCCAAGGCCTGGCTGCTTCGCCCTCAGAAATGAAGCCCCTGCCTTCTCCGGCCGCATTCTGGATCATCCCACGTCTCTCAAAACACCCCTCAGAATCTGCACGTACACGTTCCCTTCTGGGCCCTCTGTCCAGACATTGCCCAGGGACTAGCCTTTTACCGCCTGCCCACTGGTTTTCCTGCACTTCACTCTCACTGACATGGCGAAGAGTGAAGCCAGGAAAGAGCTGTCCAAGTTCTCATCCATTTATAGGCTTCTTTTACACTTTGGAAATCGCTGCTTCTTTGGCCCAGTTCTCATTATTTGGGGCAATATTTCCCATTAAGTTTCCTAAGCACAGGCCATATTTGACAGAGCAAAGGGTATATTTATTGTTATTTATATAGGCTAGGTACACCAGCTTTTAATGTGAACAGAAATTTACACAGACACACACATGCCCTCGCACACATGCGCGCGCACACACACACTTGCCTGTAGGCAGCGGTTCTCAACCTGTGGGTTGCGACCATCGGAAAACACATATAGCATATCAGATATTTACATTATGATTCATAACAGTAGCAAAACTACAGTTATGAAGTAGCAACGAAAATAATTTTATGGTTGGGGGTCACCACAACATGAGGAACTGTATTAAAGGGTCGCAGCATGAGGAAGGTTGAGAACCACTGCTGTAGAGCGAGGCTGTGTTTATGTTCGCCCGGGCTCAGCCCCTGTTTGGGCAGCTAAGCAGCAGGAGGCTCTGATCTCCCCACACTTCTGAGCTGTGCACGACTGAAATGGGTCTGTGCCTCGCAGGCGACCACCAGGGGGTGCCCGGTGTCTTTCGGTTGCCTTGCAGGCGGGAAGGGAGGGAGAGGAAAGGTGAGGGCTGACCAAGGTGAGAAGCCAGTTCTTGCTTACAGGGTCAGAGAGCAGAGGGAAGGGGGAGGGGTCCTACCTGGGTCACTCCTCTCTGCAAAGGCCACTATGTGGATCCCGTTCAAGTCGTCTTCCTGTGGGGGAAAGGAATGAAAGGTTACACTCCCAGGTGAGAGATGCGAGGAGGCAGGGGCAGACAGGCGGGAATTGAAATGGAGGCGGGGGAGGGAGCTGAGGGGAGTGGACACAGAGGCACAGGGGACAGAGGCTCAGGGACACAGGCACAGGGGGACAGAGGTATAGGGGGACACAGGCACAGGGGGACAGAGACACGGGGGACATAGAGGCACAAGGTGACAGAGCAGCATGCATCTTAAGGAAGGGAATACTGATGAGCAACTGGGAGGAAGGTGTGGCATTTACGGGCTTTTGAGACAGGAAAGCACCAACTACACACAAGACATTAGCACCGAATGGGCCTCACTCCCGTGGTCTGGTGGGTCCGGGAGAGCAGCAGGAAGAGGCAAAAGGAGGAAGAATGTGAGTCTGGCTCATCCGCCCTCTGAAGGGAGCTCAGTGAATGTCAGTCTGAGTTTCAAGAAGTCACCACGAGCAAATAAAGCAGTAATAGGCCCGATATGGAAGCTTCTGGATGCTGCTGGTGGGTGCTGCCGCTGTCCCCAAACGGGCAGCAGACAGGAATCTTGAGGCAAATTAGGATGTGGGTCTGTTCTGTTCACACATGTGTCCTGCTTCTCTGAGACCCCGCTTATTGAAGAACCTGCGTGGTCAGTAGGGGGCGCTTTGCTGCCTGCCACTCCTAGGGCGTTTCCTTGGACTCCTTTTGGCTCTGGAACCAGAGCTTGCCGGAGCCGTCCAGGCCTCTAACTCGGTCTCAGTGTGGGAGGCCACAGGAGGGGCTGGAGATGGGGCTGGGCAAGGGTGAGGGTGTGATGGTGAAAAGTGAGAATATTTCAAATCTGTGGGACAAGCAGGTGGCATTCCATGTTTCCATGTCCTGAACAGAAAGGACCACATGCCTCGTGTCTCCTTTGCATCGATCATTCCTGCAGAAGAGCCAGCGAGAGCTTGGAGGCGCCTCCTTTATAAGAAATGTGACCCTCATGAGGCTCGGAGGGGACGATGCTCGAGCGAGAGGCACGGGGACAGATCTGAGTGGACGCTGACTATCACTGTCCCAGGGAGAGGGCATCCCGGGGCTCCCGAGTGTCATATCAGAACCGTCCTCAGGAAACAATACTCCAGGCTTCTCAGCCCTCCCTGGTCCCCGTTTCCATCTCAATGGATTGTAATGCTGGTGCAATCCTATCTAAATGCTAATTTTTTTCCTTTGAGTTGGAAATGGACAAAACCTCCAAAAATTCTGAGCGAGATTAAATGGAAAATATTATTATTAGAAACAAGAGAGTCGGGCACTGCCTTGGTCAGGTTCTCCGGGGAATTGAATTTGATAGATCTGTGGTGTGTGTGTGTGTGTGTGTGTGTGTGTGTGCAGGTTTATTACACAAATCTGACAGCAGCCGGAAGGGGCGTCTGAGGTTTCATGTTTGCTATTATCACCAGGCAGGATGCCCTGGTCGGTTCTCAATAGGCTGCCCTGTCCCTGCTCCTGCCATCCGTGGGGAGGCGGCCGCGTTAACTCCGAGAAGCGGGCTCCATTTCTGCCTGCCCTTCCGGAACGCATTTGGAAATTGGTTTCAGAATTAAGAATCCATATCTGTTTGCTAAGAGATTGCTCATGACATGGCCGCCACCTCCCAGGCCTCAGGTGTTCCGCGGATGGAGACTATAACCCAGGGAAAGAGCCTCTGTCTTGGCAAAGCAGCAGGCGTGTGCTCTGTGCCGGGTGTTTTCAGTAATGGGCTCCCAGAGCAGACCCACAGGCAAGCCTGAAGGTGCGTATCCCACACACACAGGCGAGGAAGAGCTGCAGGACCGGCCAGCCAGGGGCTTTCTCTGAACCCCACAACCTTGGCCGCCCAGATCACCCCTTTGGTCTTTAGATCACATTGTCTCGGAAATGATCTTTTTACTTGAATGGCAAGCTCTCTGAGGGAAGGGATTACACCTTGAACTATCAAGGGTGATTAAAATGATGATATGAATATCTGCCATTTGTGTCAGTGCTTTGTAAGTGCATTACTTCTAAGTCTTAGATGCAAGTCCCATTCCTGTTTAATGCTTAAGGAATTGAACCGACTTCCCTAAAGCCACAGAGCCGGTACATGACGTACCTGGGGTTCAGGCCAGCTCTGCCTGGTCCCGAAGCCCATGCTCTTTCTCCCTCACTGACGTAGGCCAGGAAAAGCCACGGGCATACAGATTATTCAGAGCCGAAGGCATGTGAATTCCTGAAATCCCTTATTTGCCTAAATGCAGAGCCTCTTAAAAGAACTCAGTTGTCATAAATCCTTTCCCAAGTGCAACTCTGCTCTTCTCAAACAGACAATCCTGTCTCCCATTTCTTCTCCCAAGCATCCATTTATCTTTCCAAAAAGTCTTTGTTCTCCCAAAAGGGTCCCCTGCCCCTCCCCATCCTCTATTTAGAATCTAAATTTTAGATGGCATATAAGCCTCTCTCTTTTTTTAAGCCCCTCGTTGAGTCGAATTTTTTGTGAACTTCCATACAGAAATAGGTAATTAAATCTATTTGTTTTTTTTCTCATACTAATCTGTTCTTTGTCACTTTAATTTGCAGGCCTCTAGTACTGAACCTAAGAGGGTGGAGGTACAAGTTTCTGCTCCTTGACGTCACCAACAGCACAGAATGAGCTCAGGAATCTGCTGTCTTCTCTACAGGGTTTGCAGAAGATGTTGCAAACTCAGGTCAGTGGCTCTTACTTAAGTTGAAAAAGTCTGAGAAGCGGCCTATATAACGTGACCGAACACCAAATCCCCCCAAACTGGAGCTTGGGAGTTACTTAGGTGAATACCTTACTCTGCACTCCCCAGCACTTTGTATGACCTCTGTCACAGCAGGGAGCATCCTGGTCTGGGGTCACGTGATTTGAGACTGCTTCATCGACCCAGGCCTGAACTCCTAAGGCCTGGACAGCAATGTTCATTTATAGTCTCTGTGCTTAGCACAAGGTAATGGGTTCTTATTAATACCTATTGGATTTTAAAAAAGAGTATGGTGATAAAAATCTTTCATACTGCTTGAAGAAAATTAGCAAATATTAGAGATTCCAAGAAGAAAGTAACATCAATTACCCACCAACCAGGTAGATTACCACTGTTCAGATTTGGCTGTTTCCTTCCAGCCTCTGTTGAATGTTTGTTCTCATGTTGAATAAAGAGATGCAAAGAAGGAAAATGCAGTTAAAAGTAGCAGACTCCCTGGTGCAAAGGAGTATCTCAGAGGCTCATCTGGAGGTTTCTGACTCCCTCTTGGAATTACTTAGTTATTGCAACACAGGGAGGATTCTTCTAGAAGGAATTGCTGACTCCCATCCCTAACCCTAACCCTAACCCTAACCCTAACCCTAACCCTAACACTTGCACTACTTTTTATAAGGCTGAAGTTATATTAAGTAAAAAGTAAAAATATTTTTAAAGGAATATTATTTTTAAAGCACTGTTACAGTATTTAAATCTAATAAAACATTTTAAAGGTTGAATTTTTGAAAGTTTGGAATGTTAGGGAAATATGTTTCTATGTGCTGTGTTGTTGCCAAGCAGTCCACGCCTGTACACTGGGTTATTTCCCTTCAGTGTCTTATGAAATGTTTGTTCCCTGTTCAAACGTCCAAATGAGTGACATGCTATTAAACAGAGTGTCAAGTTACTCCATGGCTCTCTTCACACGTCACTTTCAACTCTGAATTAAAGATTAAAAACATAAATAAATGCATACATGTTCCCAGGTTAGTCCCTTTCCCCTCCCGCCTACACCCCCACTGCCAAAATGGTGCCTTGTGGGGCCATGGCCCATTCTAGGGGGGTATAATGGCAAGAACATGAGATTTGGCTCTAGATGATTTAAATTTAAGTCCCAAGATCTAGTGCTTATTAGTTACGTATTTGTGAGTAATCAACCTAATCCATACGATCAATTTCCCCATGTAAACTGGGGCTAAAATAATACTTGTTCTTCAGCACTTTCTAGAACCACTCAAAGACCTGAATGAAAGGATCCATGAAATGCTTTGGAAAATGTGCCACAGACTTCGGTTGTTGTCGTTTATGAATTTTGTATAAATCTGAGGTGGGTGGGAGGTTGTATCTCCATGACCCTCTTTCTGATGCTATTTGACCCTCCTGACGCATTGTCTGTGACTTAGACCTGAGGATACTCTGACCCAGTGCCCTGAGTTGATAGTTACAAAAACAGCTGCCGTTCCTTTATCGAGCACCTACCATGCTCTGGGCTCTTCACACTGTCCATCCTTACGAAAAGCCCTAAGTTCAGATGCAGGAACTAAAGCTCAGAAAGATCACATGACTTGACGTAGGATGCAAAGCTACGAGGTGTCCAATTCTAGGCTTGAACCCAAGTCTCTGACTCCACAGCTCCTCCTCTGTGTCCCCCAGGCCTCTGGCCAGTGCACAGAGGCCAGTGGTCCCAGGGGGAGTGGACTCAGAGACAGAGTAACGTTGCCCAGCGGCAGCACCAGAGAGGCATAAACTAGAACCTAGAAAACTGGGTTCTCTGAGCGCGATGTTGTCCACATTTCAAATACTCTACCATCTAGATATCCGCTCCAGTCAAGTAAAACTTGGTTTGAGTTTTGGAACTCAAAGGAGTATTCCTCTTTGGGAATATACCTGTCTCTACAAGGCAGAAGGAGTTTGCCACTATCTTACCCATGTTTCAAACATATCTTCTGGGCGCAGGCGGCGGAGGGTGGGTCTGGAAATAAAGAAGATGAGCTTCCTTGAGTAGGTATTCTCAGGGCACCACAGCTAACCCTGTACCCTGCCCAGTCACACAGAGAGCTGGGCCTAATGCTCTCAGCCTTTTCACAGACCCATTTGGCCCAGGGATTATAGTTCTATTACAAACAATGCCAGAGGGCGCAGGGTAGTTATTCCCAGGGCAAGAAGTCATCTCCCTCCTCCCAGACAGGCGTGGCCACCCCTGAGAGCCCAGAGAAGGCCCAGAATGAGGCCACCTGGGAGGGAAGAGAGGAAGTCTTGATTTTGTTTTATCTTCAGGGTCATCCATCCAAAGCCCCTTCAGGATGTTTGGAAGAGCAGGTGGGATCTATATTTTACTCATGGTTTCATTTCTTTCTGAATGTTGGCTAATAGTGCTAGAATGTGGCTATTTGCTTCTCCGAGTACTGCCTCCCTCTAGGGACCAGGACTGGCTGGTTGATGGAATCATAGTGCTCCAGGTCCAATGAGCATGCGTGAGCACATGTCCATTGTGTGTGTGGGGGGTAGGGGGGTTGATGGTGAGCCCCCCCACCATGTTCCATGTTCAGTATTGCCCTTCCCTCAAGAGCAGGGCTCAGCAAATTGCAGCTGGAGAGCCAAATCCAGCCGGTGCCTCCTCTTTTATAAATAAACGTTTTGGGACACAGCCACACCCCGTTGTTTAGATATTGGCTGCGGCTGCTTTCCCACACAAACAGCAGAGCTGAGTGTTGCAACAGAGACCATCTGGCTGCGGAGCTGAACTATTTACCCCCCGGCCTTTTACAGGAAAGGGTCGCCGGTCCACGCTTGAGCTACTCTAAGTGGTGTCAAATATTCCTCTCCCAGCAGTTCTGCATACAGAATGTTCATCTTGGCTAAGTTATTTAACTACGCGGAGCCCAATTCCTTGATCTGTAAATTGAGATAATAATAATTACCCCATTATGTTGAATACAGGGTTTGGCAAACGTAGGTTTACAGTTGTAATACAAATAAATAATACTAATAAATAATAATACAAGAATAAACTTTCGCATGCTCACAACTGTAAACCTCCTTTGCCCACCCTGCCCACCCCTGTACTAGATAAAATAGCTCTCATAGCACCTACCATGGTATTGGCATATAGGAGGCTGTCCCTAAATCACTCTTGCTGTTATTGAAATTTTTTATTTATATCTGACTCTGAGGGGATTTGCTGACTGAGGGGAGGTGGTCTAAACCTGTTTGCAAGTGTAGACAGACCCATATTCAGAAACTGTAGCAACATCCCATCCCTGCCACTGATGGATGACCAACAAAGCCATTCTACTGAGTTCATTCTTTGGGGGGCTGACTCCAGGTAGTTGCTCTTAGGGGTGTGAGGTGTCAGGACTGAGAGGCTCCTCTCCATTTCCCAGGCCCCAGGCCCCCCACCCCCTGCATGCCACCTGGGGTACCTCTGGTGCTCCTTTATAAACTCCACAAGCTCTTCTTCTGTGTAAGGTTTGTCAGGGATGGCAATGGGCTCGTCCATAAATGGCTCGTAGAAGTCAACCTCATTCATCTTCAAGGACAACTTCTTCGCAACCTGTAACAGTTAGAAATATGACAAGAGCTTCCTTGAACGCTAGTCTAGAGAGGCAGTGATGGTCCATCTATAAGGCGTGCATATTCTCTGGCAAAGACTTGAGAGGGTATGTACAGTTTTAATGTAGATATTGTCGTGATAGGAACCCCTCACCTAAGGCCTGGCTGGACCAATCCAAGAAGGACAGATAGGGAGGAGAAAACCTCTCTGGCCAATGAGGTCCAAGCAGGGGCAGGAAGCAGGCGGAATGAAAAGTGGGAAATGTAATTCTACAGTCACCGTCACTCTACTGTGTTTGCCAGGCTGGAGGAGGACGCAGAGGTCAGCAGAGATGCTCAGTGTCTTTGCAGGTATGGATTGAATCGAATCAACTGGATAGAACAGGCAATTGATGGGAACCATTTAAAGCATATACTCAAAATCAGAGGCCCGCCCATTCATCCTCGATCAGGGCATAAACCTACTGTTACTCAGACTGAAGCATGGCCCTACAGTTAGTTGTCTCTCGGTACAGGGCTTGTGTGATGGTTTCTCAGGCTCTGGGAACTGTCCCCTTGGTTACCAATCAGAAGGTGAACAGCCACCCTGGCTTGTCCAGAGTGGAGGGGTTCCCTGGATTTAGACTCGGGGTGCTAAAACTGGATAGTACCCTAGTACCCAGCAAGCTAGCTGGGGTTGTTCTCCCCTGTACCAGAGAGGGTGCTCGGAGCGAGACGTAGCCTGGAAGGCATCGCCTCTCTGATTAAGGGGCCCCACCGCCTTGTCAGGGCAGAATGGCTGCTGTGTTCCCTGAAGACCTGCCGGACGCAGGCCTCTTTTTGTGAAATGACTCGAGAGGCCTGGAATGTGCCGCGCTTGGAGAAAACCAAGTGCCATTCTTTTCCAGGTCAGAGCTGGGGGCCAAGAGAGCACAGAGATGAACAGTGGTTCCCTTGAACTAAAGAGGAATTGCCGAGAGCTGCCGCCCGGCCGCGATAGCCCACAGCCCAGTGGCCCGGGGCCGCCAGGACCCAGTGGGAGGAGGGGAACTGGTGTCACATAAGCTCTTACACAAGGAGGTCCATTCTGAGGAAACATGGGTCTGCCTATGGTTTCTGTCCTCGACTGCTGTTAATTCCAGGTCACCATAGTCCGAAGGACATTTCTGACAGTACTTAAAGAAACTGGCTTTCGACTCAGAGCTAAAGGAAACAGGCCACGTTAAGAGCCATAGTCAGTCTAAGGAGATTTTGCGGTCATGTTAATTTTGTTTTAAGGGACATGGAGGAATGGGCTGTTGTTTTTTTCTTCTTACTCTTTTCCTCTTCCACGGGGCAGAGGGTGCTATGGATGGATGATGGGCAAGGAGCAAGGGAGCAGGGCAAGTAGCAACTCTACACCCAGTGTCTGCGTTTACACACAGTTCTTCGAAGAGCTGAGCTTGAAAATGGCATTCAATTGTGGTTCTCTGAGTTCACTTACTACTTATTTTAAGAACCAGGAAGAAAAAAGTAATAATAATAACCACATAGAGTGCTTGCCATGTGCCAGGCACTGTTGCAACGCGTTTTAGGCTGATTCCTTTATGAATCCTCCCTTTGATTGTATCAGGTAAAAGCTGGTATTATACTTATTTTACAAATGATGAGCCCGAGGTGCAGTCTGAGTATGCAATTTGTCAGGATTATCTACCCGAGGGGATAGAGCCAGAATTCAAACCCCATTTGCCAGTACACCAGCCCTCCCTAGAAAATCACCTTCTCCTTGACCCTGTGAAGAAAGCTGTCTGGCCCCATAGATATTCCACTGCTGCCACACGTGTTTAGTCAGACGTTCCCTGTTGCTCTTGGACATGCTCTCATCAATTCACCCCATCGCAGGCGGCTGGAATGCAGGCTTCCCAAAGGCAGGAAGGGGCTCATCATAAGCTCTGGTGCACCCACATGTGTGAGTGTGCATGTGTGTGAGTGCGTGGTTGTGTGTGCATGTGTGTGTGTGTGTGTGTGTGTGTGTGTGTTGGGGGAGAGGTTCTCTGGTTCTTGGTTGCCAATGTCCAGGTCTGCAGTATGGAGACCATGGGTGTGAGGTTGGATTGTGATGTTCTTGAGTTTAATTCTGGGGATCACTGAGCATAATTTTCTCCTGTTTGCTATATCCCCACCAGCATGCACCATGGAGGGCCCTCGCCTTGTATCTCAGAGAATCCCTGTTTTTAAAATTCTTTTATTTGTATTTTGGGTGGTAAGGACTGAAGGAGATTTGACTGATTGAGGCATTGATTCATTCATTGATTCAGTAAGTATTTAATGGGGCTGACTGTCTCCGAGGCACTGTTCTGGGACCAGACCTGGTTCATGGGCAGGAACAACGATACGAGAATGGATTTTACTCCTGAATGCTTAGGAGGTCCATATAGTGAGTTCTTTTATGCCTTTAAAAAACTAGTTGGAATAGATTTTGCCAAAGATAAGAAGACTACAAAGCAGAATGGCCATTTTTTGACATTGGCAGGTGTATGGATTTTGATAGAGATGTTTTTCTACATGTTAGCAAGCCTTTCATTGTTGCAAATGAAATCAGTTTAATGAATTTAGGCCTTTTCAATGTCTATCTTCTCCATCAACTTTATTTAGATAACCACTGCTTCTTTTGGTCCCCATATGGTTCAAAAAAATGATTCTGCTTCTCACTGTTCACTCCAAGAAAGGGACAGGTCGCTGGGAGGCCACAGGGGGATAGTTAGAACTACATATTTTAGGCTATAAGGTGCAGTAGAGTGGATGCCATCCTTAGCCCTCTGACCCTCTCTTGCCCCCTTGTGGGGTTGATTGAGGATCAGGAGCCATCAATTGTTTCTGGTCCCAAAATGATGTACCAGGTAAAATGTACTGGGAGCTTTTTAAAAATGCATATTCCTGGGTCAAAATCCTTAAAAATAAAAATTCAGATTTCCAGGGCTAGCGCCCAGAAACCCATAGTTTTAAAAGCTTCCTGAAGGATTACAATATGGACAGTGTTTGGAAACTACTAACTCCCAAGTCTACATCAGCAGCCCTGACATCTCACCCTCTTTACATTTCTCCAGCTCATAGACAGCAGTCCCCCCTTATCCGCAGTTTCAGTTAGCTGCAGTCAACCATGATCCGAAAACATTAAAAGGAAAATTCCAGCAATAAACAATTCATAAGTTTACATTGTGTGCTATCCTGAGTGACATGATGGGTGCAATCATGCCTGCTGGACCCCACCATCACCAGTGGGCACTGTCACCCACACCCCTAATTGATGGGTGCAAGTTCTTAAGTCCCAAATGGCATTGAGTCCTCTCCGTGACAGCTCTTCCCTCTGGTTCCCCAAGGAGGTAGGGAGCATTACCTTTCTCTTTCTGAATGTTATGAAATCCCGCCAGGCTACGTGAGCAGTGGCACTTAATGACTCAGTGTCTTCTAGAGCTTTTAGTGAAGAGCCTTCTGAGTTTTTAATTATAGCCTGACCTCACCTTCTTCATGGGCCTCAGACATGAAGCCATGTGGTTGGGCTGGGAGGCACATCTGCAAACCAACCCCACCCTGAACTCTACCTTGAACCACCCTTCCAAGGACTGAGGCTCTGTTGCTTGGCCAGGCTTGTCTGCCTGACTCTCTTCCCTCGGATGGGTTCTTACCCAGGAGTCATAGTCACTGCTGACCAGTCCTAACTGGATGCCAGTGATGGACTCAGTTAAAGCTTCTCTGTACCTCCGCTTCTCCACTAATATCCTCTCCCCACCTCTACCTTCCTGGACCTAAACGACTGTCTTTATTAACAATAGTCCTGCCCAGCTGGCGTGGCTCAGTGATTGAGCATCAACCTATGAACCGGGAGGTCATGGTTGGAGTCCCAGTCAGGGCACATGCCCAGGTTGTGGGTTCGATCCCCAGTGTGGGGCATGCAGGAGGCAGCTGATCAATGATTCTCTCTCATCATTGTTGTTTCTATCTCTCTCTTCCTCTTCCTTCCTCTCTGAAATCAATAAAAATATACTTAAGAACAACAACAATAACAGACAGCCGTCACAGCTAGCTAACATTCACTGAAGGCTTACGTGTACCAGATGCGTGTGTACATGTGCCATGTCTTTCTCTGGAGTAGAGTAGTACTGAGCACCGACACTGAAGTCAGGCTGACCTGAGGTTACATCCAGCTTCCCTACTCATTATGTGACATGAGCAAATCTCTTAATCCCTCGGTACCTCAGTTTCATCCTCTGTAGACTGAGAAAACTAATCCCTCTCTTACCGGGTGTTGAGAAGATGAAATGAGAAAACCTATATAAGCTCTTAGCACAAAGCCTGGCACATGAAAAGCACTTAATGAATGATAATTATTATTCTTTTTGCTATCCTTGCTCAATATCCCTCTCTAATGTAATCCAACCAATTAGGCTACATTTTCTTCAAGTTCAGATGATGTAGACTATGGACCTCTCTTCTGGATTATACGCTTGTAAACTGGGGCCATAGTCATAGAAGTGGGTCAATATATGTATGAATTGAGTGCAATCTCTTTTTATCATACTTTTCCCCTGCTTCAGCATCTACAGACTTCCTCGTTTTTCATAGAATACTTCGAATGTTCTTAGTGTGTGTGCATTGGGGGTGTTGTGTGTGTGTGTGTGTGTGTGTGTGGAGGTGTGTTAGGTTTGTGTGTTATGTAGTGCATATGTTGTCTGTGTATGTGTGTTACATACATGTTGGGTATGTTTTATGTAATGAATGTGGGTTGTGTGTGCTATACATGCGTGAGTTGTGTGTGTTATGTGGGTGTGGATGTGCAAGTGTGCACCTTGAATCTCAACGGTAGGAACAGTCTTCTAGTTAATGATGTGGGACAGAGGAAAGGGCATGGACTTTGAGCACAGATTGTCCTAAATTGGGATCTTAGCACTACCATTAATTCACTGGAGACCTTGGATATTACTTAACCTTTCTAAATGTTTTCTCATCTGGAAGTTGTGTAAAGGACTAGAGATTGTACTAGTGCAATATATCCACTTGAGCCCAACATGCAGAGAGCACTGGATTAGTAGCCATTTTAGTGGTACCCGGAGCCAGGGTAGAGTACTCCAAGCAGAGTAGACCCCAAATAAAGTACCCATTGGTTTGAGGTCCCTCTATCTCTGCTGCTCTTAGGCTTCTCGAGGCCCTTTCCACACCCACGAAACAACAAGCATTTGAATTATAGACAAGTACATCCGTGGCATCTCCTGAAGATGTGGGTAACTATCGGAAGCACCGGGGTTTCTGAGGTCAATGCCCCTCCCCACCCAGAAGAGGGAAGGCATGCAGCCCCAGGGAGGGAGAGGACGCTCTAAAAAAAGGAAGCAATGATTAGTGTCCCGCACACTCCAGGCTCACACTCTCTCCATTCTTAGTGCTGACAGTGATATGAGTGGTTAGTTCATCACTTTTCATTGGGATGTTTTCAGAAATACCCTGACATCATCTGAGTGAAACATCTTTGTATTCATATCTCATGCTGTAGCGATGTGCTGCTACATTTCTAATTATGGAGGAAGTGCTCATGAGTGGAGGGTGGTTAACGTTTCAAAAGAAAAGAAAAAGGGGTGGCAAGTTCAACTGTGAATACTTCGTGCCTACGAAAGCGTTCAAATTGAGGTGTCATCGGTCCTTACCCCTTTGTCGAAGGTCGCGAAAAACTTGATGTAAGGCTGGAAATGCTCAGCTGCCTCTTCAAAAGCCTTGTAATCTAAGAGGAAAAAGTAGACGGGAGAGACATTTGCAAGACGCACACTGCAGACATTTCTTTGTTTAAATAATGGAGAGAGTGGGAAGCCAATTAGTCCTAATTGGATAATTATTGAGTACATATTATTTAGATAGATAATTATTTAGTACCATTTAAACCCACAGCTTCCCCAAGGAGTTGGAACTGATTGGCATTCAATCACCCAAAAGAACTCTTTGCCACACTGTTGTATGTTTTACAAAACTGGTAGATGGAAAGGAGAAAACCCAGAGAGAACAAGGGGAAGAAAAGGGGTGGTCAAACCCCAAACCCAAAGGAAAAGTTCTTTCGCTCGAAGTCACTGCTACTTTTTCATGTGCCCCCTAGAGAGTTGCAGCCTGTGTGTGAGGGAACACAGTGTGCGGAGAAATGCACCTCAGTCAAAATGACAGCACAGAAGTATTTTAAACTCTTAGCAGGAGCACTCTTTTTGGTAAATTCTTTCCCTCTTTTTAATTTTTCCTTTTTTCATCCTGATCCCTTGAAAGAATCACTTAAAACTAATCAAGACCATGCTTGACTCTGGTCCCAAACTTGAGTACAAACTGGAGAAGAGAGGCATGAGGCCGCATGTTGTGTCTTACCACACCCAGACAGTTACTAGGTAAAGGCATCCTGGTTCAAGCCTTAGATGTGAGGGTGATGATAATGGTAATAGTAGTAGTGTTTCTACAAAAATGACATAATCTTGAGAGGCAATGATCCAACAAGATTAACTTTTTCCATTTCCTGGAATTCATACCCCTTCATCATCAGAGGCACAAGCATGCAGAATTTTCTAACTTTCAATGGAAAACATTTCAAGAATAATGCTGGCTCGGGGGACACCAAAATGAGGAAGACATGGACAACAATCAAAGGCTCACAGCCCAGGGTGGGTCATGGACCCTTGAAGAATCACAGTGTGGTGTGGTAGTTGCTAGAACAGAGGTACGCACAATAGGCACAGATGAGAGAGGGGTAGAAAGTATACAACAAACTTCTACATACTGATCCACATTCACACAAACTCATCCTCATAAAAGTGATTGGGTTGTCCCAAAATATGTCATATAGGCCGATAGTTGGGGTGGAGGATTGAGTGGGGGGGAAGAAGATGGGTGAGAGATTTGGAGAATGAATAGAGGGAGGTGGGAGAGTATAGAAAGGGAAATGGTTAAAGCCATAGCTAAGTCACTTATGTCTATTTATAGCAGCAGAGGGCTCCTTAAGAATTCTCTGTTCTCCGCATCCGTCCTCCTTGTCGCTGATGAACCTCTCTCCACCTTCCTGAACTCCTTCTCTGATGGAAAGCATGGCCTAGACCTTTGTTAAGAGAGCTCCCTTCTTCTCTTGGGGAGCCAGTCTGTATCCCTAAGACCAGTTTAAGAACCCATTGTGGCCCTCGAGTCAAAAAGTTTGCCCACCCCTGGCCTAGACCTTTGTCAAGAGAGCTCCCTTCTTCTCTTGGGGAGCCAGTCTATATCCCTAAGGTGGAAAAGGGTGGGGCAAGGCAGATCCCAGGTTGGTGCTTCAAGTTAGGGTTGAACCTGTAGCCTCTTGCAAACAGTAGTTGTCTTCAGGAAACCTGGTCTAGTCTTCTACTCTGATCTCCCCAGAGTAGTCAGTATCTATATAGAAATGTGAACATTGAAATGAAGTCACCCAAAGAACCAGGGCAAAACTCCCCACTTAGCCACTTTCCCCCAACACACTCTTAAGGAGGGTGAATAGAGACGTTTACATAGCAAATGAGGAGACAGTTCAGCTAGGCCATGGGGGAGAGAAAATTGGTGGGTGGTTGAGATGACTAAGGATGCCAGTTGGCAGATGGGGTAGAGACACAGCTTCACAAATAATTTCAAAATATTTTGGAGTTTCCAGAAATAGCCAAAAGCATCCCTTATTTGCACTTCCCTCCTGGACTAATGCTACCAGGTCCTCTTTCATAGCTAAGCCCACTCCCTCTCTCCAAGGCTGAGACACCAGAAAAAGGCTTCACTCTGGGCTCATGCTGCCAAAGCACTTTAAGAAAAGGTACTCAGGTTGTTAGCCTTGCTGGTTCCTCCCCTTCCTGATTCCTCCTGACTTCAACCCCTGTAGGGTTGTGCTGATGCTGTGATATGTAACTGTGCCCACCCAAACCCCAGCCGCAAAACTTTCAAAGGGAATACACCCAAGGGTGTGGTGTGTTACTGCAGGCTGCCTTGGTGGTCAGCTGGGTCGGCCAGCAATTTTCCACATTGTGCTGCAGCTGCTAAGCCCAGCCCTACCCCAACTTTCCTCTAATGCTGTCCAAGTGACTGAGAAGCTCTCCAACTGGTGACCATGGGAGCTGCCCGTGTCAGGAAGACAGCCCACTATTTGCCCCCTTTTAAGGGAGAATCCAACTGGTGGGTGAGCCGGTGGAAAAGTGGGGGAAGGGCTTTCTCTCTTCTGTAAAACATTCACCCCCTTCAAGGCCAGAGAACATGGCCCAGCCTCAGCCTTCCTTCAGCTCCCCTGCCTGCTTTGTACAATCAATACAGGTGTCCCTTTGCTCAGGGTGCAAGGAAGATTCTCCCTCCTACCCAGCATGGGACATGCCCACCGTCTTTATGGATAACATGACACACCTTGCTGGGAATGTAGCCTTTAGACCAACAGGCTGGAGTTGACAGACAACTTACATTCTGAGTCTTCGCTCTTGAAAAAACCAATGAGTTTGATGTGGTCCTCAATGCGTTCAAAGGCTTGGACTTCCAGTTTGCTGCCGATGACCTCCACTGGATCTTCAATTAGCTGAAATGCCACACACAAATACACAAAATCAGTTCCTTCCCCAGGAATCGGGCACATATGCAGAGGTCTTTGGAGGGAAGTTGTGGACTTCGGTTGGTGCCTCAGCATCCATCCCACCCTCCCCCAGTGAGTACAGCAACAGCGCCTTTTGAGGACTTGACCTTAACTCAATGGGGTAGGCTGGTTGGTGTGGGCAGTTCTATCTCTCTTGTCATTTATTGGTTCAGAAATGGCATGAGACCCAGATCTGGTCAATGACTCTCCAGGGAAGATTTGCTGAAAGCTTTAGGAAAGTTCTGATTTCTCTTAAAGGCAACAATGGGAGGCCAGATTTTTCCCTCCCTCTTATTAAATATTAATGAGGAAATGTGATGTATCCGCTCCTGCTGCTGGCTTATCTTAGAATCAACTTGGGAACAGTCAGCTTAGGGACAAAGCCAACACAGAGAAAACAGCATTATCCATGATTGACAGAGAAAAATGGTGCGAGAGCCTTGTTTTGATCAACTCTAAAATCTGCCCTCACTCTGGATTTCTATTTGTGTGGGTGACCACGTAGCCTGTTGTTTACGGTAGCTAGAGTCTGGCGTCTGTTGTGAGCTAAAAGCCTTGGCCTCGCTGGTAGGGCGGGGCAGTGCCATGTTGGCCGAGCTGTTCAGCTGCTGCCCTCAACTTTTTTAGGGCTTGCAGTTATGGGTCAGTGACGGGCCAACGAGAACCTATGGGCACTTTTTCATAGGAGGTGACCTAACTCACTTAGACTCTGTCTCTGGGTTTTGAGGCTGTGGAGAGAGGTGAGAGACCACTGTGGACGAGCTGGTAGATAAGAATCGTCAATAGGGATGTGCATTTTCTGTACAGGAATCTGTGTTCAAGCAGCTTGAACTGGACTTCACAGCTGCTATTGAGAGTGTGGGTTTGTCTATGGATAGAATATTTGTATAGTGTTTGAGCATATGGATTTGCCCGGGCATATGGATCTGAGGGTAGTGGACCTCCATGGCTGAGAAGGATGATATTGGGGCTCATTAGTCCTGCCCCTTTTTATTCTGCTCTGAGGGTAACTCGGGTGATCGTTCCTCCTCTCCCTACTGGTCTTCAGGTGACTAGCCACCACTTCCTCACAATTCCCAACTCCTGTTCAGAAGCCCTAGGACAAGCCAAGGGGATTCTAGGTCCTCCTCTCCCTACTGGTCTTCAGGTGACTAGCCACCCCTTCCTCACAATTCCCAACTCGTGTTCAGAAGCCCTGGAACAAGCCAAGGGGATTCCAGGGGGTTTTGGTATATGACTGCCCTTTTGGACCTCACGGACCACCAGTGGTCCATGGACCACTAGTTGGCCACCGCTGTTCTAGGGGATGTTGGTGTATGACTGCTAAGAGAAATAACATGTTACTACTACACAGTTCCGATCTGTGACCCTCTGATCACAAGGAAACAGTTTCTCAGGTGACCTAAGGGCCCGCTTCCTATAATAAGTAAATAGCACGGGGCTGTCCTTGACTTTTTGTGAAGCCTGGGAAATCTGTCTTAGATCAAGTCCAGTTACCCAGCTTCTGTGCTCTTATTTTAAAGTTTTACTTCCCCCCTATATGGAACCCAAACAACTCCATGCAGGGCACTGTGCATAAATGCTCACGTCCAAGAGAAACTCCACCAGGACATCAGCTGCAAACTCGCCATCAAACTCAATTGTGCGATCGCCCTTAAGAATGTACAGGCTTCCTTCTTCATGGAAACCTGGAAGAAAGGAAGAGTTCCCATGACAAGATCATCCCGATGCAGGAAAAGCCATCCTGTTGGCCGGGTCAGGATGAGTGGAGCCTGCCTTACTCCTAGGATGGTTCCCTTGAAACCACACCTCTGAGCTGCTCCTAGTGGAAATTTATATCAGGTTTCTGGGCACCCCACAAACAGCTTGCTTTTCTAGAGGAGCTGAATTCTGCACATCCTTTCTTCCCTGCCCATTGAGAATGCTGCCAGGGCCGGGTCTGCATCGTTTCCTACCCTCCATTGCTCTTGGAAATTTAAATCAAATTTAAATAAAATAGTCAAGAACCAACAATCCCACCTGCATTTTAACTTAAAAAGAAAAATCTATTCTCCACACCATCACTGCTTCAATTTTCCAAAACTCCTGTGACCCCCTTCTCCTTGACACAAAGTTGCAATGCCCTCTGCCCACCTGACTCCTTAGCCTGCCATTCAGGTCCTTCCACAACATCATGCCAACCCCACCCTTCACATTCTCCCTTGGGTAGACCAGTGCTCCTTTGAGAACTGCTCTTTTACTCCCTGTAACTCCCTTTGCTTCTTGCCCACAAGCTGATGTAAAAGGGTTTATATAGGAAAGGTCACAGAGCATGATTCTCTACACGTATGTTCTCCTATTCTTCGAGTCTGGGGTGACCCCCACCCTCCACCATCTTGGTCAGCTACTTCGGGTCTCAGCTTAGGACTCCTTTTCCCCAGGAAGGCCACTCTGGTGTCCCCTCCTGTGACTGGTCTTCTCTGGGCTCCATGTACATGTTCTCACGGTAACAGTAAACTCTCGGAGGGTAGGGCCATTGCTATCTTCGTATCTCAGGGTGTCACTCAGAGCCTGGACACACTGGGCACCCCATAAATGTTTGTGGCCAGAGCCAACAGCTTGCTTTTCTAGAGGAGCTGAGTTCTGCTCATTCTCTCTTCCCAGTTAGCTGAGAATGCTGCCAGGCAGGGTCTCCATCGTCTTCCCACCCTCCATCGCTCTTGGCACAATGCCGTGACCTGAACAAATACTTGCTGCAAGACTGCATTTCCCCCGGGAAAGCTAACGAGCTGAGGCTGGCGTTTAGTCCAGCTGCAGGCATCCTTAGTTCCTTAGATTCCTTGTTTTCAAACTCTGTTGCTGGAGAATGCTTTCTCCAAATGAACTCTTCTGCGAACCTTAGGGGAAGGGAGGCTGGCCCCCTCCTACTGTGGCCCAGGGCACGTCTGAAGATCCCTGGGCACAGCCTGGAGCACCATTTCCAAACCTAAAGGAGCAATGTGTCACGCATCCTTGAACCTGGCAGTGGCTGATCACAAGGGTACCGCAGGAATAGAAGCCAGTGTCCTGCTGTTGGATTTTGCTCCAAGTGAAATCAGTTAGGAGGCTGTTGCACTGGTTCAGGCACAGACCAGACCCATGGCGACCCAACTCGGGCAAGAGGAAGTGAGAATGGAGATGAAGAAGAAGGTTCACAAAACACCACTGTCCTGGAAACTCCGAGGATCAGGTAGTCGAGAAGGAACCTGCTACGGTAATTCCCCTAGGCTGAGCTTGGGGAAAGGCCCATTGAGACTTTTCAAGCCCCATCACATCCTGACTGGGAGGATGTTCACTGGGCCATATGAATGCTTTCCCAGCTTATCTTCCCTAAATTTCTAGATCACTGGAACACTAGTTTTTTCCTCAAACTAAATTTACTGGAAATCCAACTTCTCTTTAAAACAATGGGATTGAGCAACTAAGTTAGATGCCCTTGACTGGGAATCGAACCCTCGACCCTTCGGTCCACAGGGTGATGTTCTAACCACCGAGCCAAACTGGCCAGGGCTACCTAGAGGTATTGATAGAACCACCACTAATCTCCCCCCACCCCCATGCTTACTACTCCACATCCAGTTAACCTTTCTTCAAAGGTTCTGTTTTATAACCTCCTGCTATGGCCACTGTTCACTAGTCATGCGGAAAAAAGCGAAATGGGCAGTTCACGTGTGGGATGTTTGAAAACCAGGGAAGTTGTTTGTGTTCTTTCTCCTTGGGATTAACACTGTAAGGATCTTAAAGTTCGCTTGCACTTATGCAGGACATATTGACCCAGAGATTACAGCCCGCATTCGGCAGTCACGCATACCTCATCTAAATCCTCCTCTCATCCTTGGTGATAGTGCCCAGCTGGGGTTTAGCCTTTAATTTAGAAACCACTGGGACATCAGAGTCACTACCACTAATTTTGTATGTGTTGGCTGTTTTAGCCGAGAGGTAAGGAAATAATAGATGATGGAAGGAGAGACCACCATGGTAGTGAGATAGAGAAGCAGGCCTTTTAACTCTAGGATCTAAAAATAAAGGCTTAAATATTTAGTGTCAATTTCTCCCGGAAGAAGCCTTCTTCATTAGACGATTAATGTAAAACCATTCAAGTTAAGCTGGTATTTACTTTTCTGAAACTCTTCTACAACCCAAGACTAGGGTATGCAAGATCATAACAATGAACATACATATAAAGCCCAGTTATCATGCAAGAATAAATGAAACTATACTTTTTTTGGCAAGACACTTTGTTTCTTCCTAATGTATCTAACAAAAATCACACTTACCCAGTTTCTTGGCAAGCTTGGCTTCTTTCTTGGCATCGACCATCACAAAGCCTATATCTTTATGTTCCAGGACTTGGGCCACAAGCTAAAGGGAAAGACAAAGAGAATACGTGAGCCCAAGGCAGAAAGATATAGACTATGTCACAGGATAATATTTTGAGGTGTTCAGGGGGCTTTCCTTCATACTCCCATTATTACTGTGACCAACTGGGGCAAAAGGACCCTATGCTTGGCCCCTCAGAAAGATGGGTACCCACCCACAAGTGGTATGGCATAAAGTTTTCCACACTTGGCCCTGTGGGCCCCCTACCTTAGGCATAGAGGAGAAATACGAATATTACCGAGAATATAAGAAATTAACTCTGAAAATTCAACACAGAATTTAACTCTGATGTCTCCTAGGCACACACCACCGTGTTTTGTTGGTTTTTAGGTGGATGCAAATGTGTGCCTCTCCTAGGCATGTCAATCACGGTCTCCTAATCCCCACGTTGATTAGATGTGACTTTGGAAGACAGACGAGTGGACGGGGAAGGTGCTATCTCAGACAAACTCAGTTCTGCTCCCCTGGCTTCCTGTTTAACTGAGCAGAGCCCCTCACCGTCCTAGGCGTGGAAGCACAGACAGAAGCGGCTCTCACCGATGGGCCAAGACCACACTGGCCGAGACCTGCTCACCTCCTCCTTGGCACACTGACGCACAGTCCCCGCAGTGCCCCGTCACTCTCGCCTCCCACTGTGATTAGGCCCGAAGCCTGCCCACTTGAGCTCTGTCATCACTTCCGTCAGCCCTAGCGAGCCCCTCTCATGAGCCTAAGCCAAGGGTGACCCAAGGCTGACTGGCTGCCTGAGGGTGGTGGGGGGCGGGGGCGGGGGAGGGAGAATGGCTGTGGTGAAAGGCCTTCTGGGCTGACTCCTGACCTGATCCCTTCCCCCCAAGACCAGGAACCCCAGCTGACTCGGGGAGCAAGCCAGGCATTGTGTGCGTCTCCCACTTGGCTGGATGGCACCTCCGCCTTTGCTCTGGCCCTGATCTCCAGCTCAGATGTTCCTTCTGCACTCGGCTACAGCCCAGTCCCAGTGCTCGCTCACGTTGCTGCCAGCCTTGGCCACCCTCAGCTGCAAAGCCCAGCTCCCGGGTCATATTTCACCCCAGCCTCCTTTCTGTGAATTCCAGTAGCTCATCGCAGAGACACGGCGCCGACGCTTATTTCACAGTAGTGAGAGTTGTGTACGTCTCTTCTGTACTGTGCATCTTCCTCCCTGAGAGAAGGACCCTTTTGTGCCTCTTTCGTGTCTCGTGTAGTTCCTTAGAGACACCAGACTGTGTGTGAAATGATGGACTAGCCCAAACACTTCACAAATTCAAGGACATTTGAGCCAATTGCAGGGATGGAGTTACAAATAGGAGGAGAAAGGAGAGAGTCACTGTTTTCTAAATTCCAGAAAACTGGAATCCTGCTGACTTAGTCTTTCCTCTGCTGTTTTGTTTGTTTGATTGATTGGTTACTTCTCAGACGGTCTCACCTATTGTCCACCCTAGAGACCTATTGCCCACCCTACAGAACAGGGTTGTCTCTTACTGGTTGGTACATGTTGCCCCTGGACTTTGGCACACATTCATTCTTTCCGGAAGCATTAGGATTTACTTTGGCCATTGCTGATTCTTTTTTGTTTTTTGTTTTTAAAATCCTCACTTGATATGTTTTTATTGACTTTTAAAGGGAGGAAGAGGGAGGTAGAGGGAGAGAAACATCAATGTGAGAGAAAAACATTGATCATTTGCTTCCTGTACACACTCTGACCAGGGATTGAGCCCTCAACCTAGGTATATGCCCTGACTGGGAAGTGAACCTGTAACCCAGCGGTTCTCCACCTGTGGGTCGCGACCATCGGAAAACACATATAGCATATCAGATATTTACATTATGATTCATAACAGTTGCAAAATTACAGTTATGAAGTAGCAACGAAAATAATTTTATGGTTGGGGGTCACCACAACATGAGGAACTGTACTAAAGGGTCGCGGCATTAGGAAGGTTGAGAACCACTGCAACCTTTTGGTGTACATGATGACACTCCAACCAACTGGGCAGCCATTGCTGATTCTTTCAAGTACAAAAATAATTTTATGGAAAAAGTTCTATTAAATAATACGTAAAGTCAATAATAAAGTAGACATTCGTAGTGTTCCTCTCTCTCTCTCTCTCTCTCTCTCTCTCTCTCTAGCCTTTATTTTCTAGTCCTTTAGCACCTACCTAATTTTTTATTAGCTTCCTCCCTAATGAAATCACAAGATCCTTGATGCTAAAATATGTCTCGCCCACTTTTGTTTAGCACAGACTGTGATCATAGTAGGTCCTCAGTAGCAGTTACTGTTCTCTTTTCATTTCACTACATCAGGCTTTGGTATTTTTGAATCGGTCCAAGGTCCAGAACCCCATCCAGCTGTCATGGTATTAAGAAAATCCAACACTGATTAAGCACTTACTGCATGCCAAGAACTGGGCCAGCACGTTACGTGCTTTATCTCATAGAATCTTCACAACAGCCTCACAATAGATATTGTTATTGTCCATACTTTACGGCCATCGCAGCCCTTGTGACCAAGTCAGAAATCCAGGTCTCTGATTCCAAGCCCTGTGTTCTTAAGCACTGGGGTTTACTATTCTTGGTCACGTATTCCCTTGAAGATGAAGTCTAGTTCGATGCCAATCATCACAGGCATCAGGCTGACTTCCTTGAGCAGAGGGCTTCTTTGGGGACACTGAAGGGAGTAGTGTGTTCCAGGCACATGAGAAAGTGTGAGGGACTCTGAGTATTAGGACTGGTCGTTCTGACTTGGGAGCTGTTTGAATAGAAGAGCAGTGTGGCTAATTTTGGTTTGAGGAGGGTGATCTGAGGTCATAGACCCGACAGATAGAAAGGAGAGTGGAAAGGAAAGGCGACCAGTTGGGAGGCTGATGCCATAGTTAAGTGGGAGGTGACTGGTCTCAGATGGAGGCAGTGGCAGTGGACGGAGAAGGTGTAACTTGTGAGGTGAGGTTACAGATGGAGAGTCAGGCGGACCTGGTAACTCTGCCATGCATGGCTTTTGAGAGAGAAGGGAGGGAAACCAAAGGAGAGGAGGAGGCAAGATGATTCCAGGGTCTCCAGCCAGGGAACAGAGTGGAGGACAAAGCAGTGACGTCAGGAGGGCATGCCAGAGCCAGGGGCAAGGAGCTCCACCTGAATTCAGATGCAATGAGTTCATGGCGATGGAAGTCCAGCCAAGAGCTGGAGGTGCCAACCTGGAGCTCAGGGGAGAGGCTCCGAGTGGAGCTCCAGAGGTGAGAGGTGGGTGGCATCTTCAGGGACTGGCCACCTCATAGGAGGCAAGAGCAGGAGGAGGCAGAGTGGACGCTAAGAGAAGCAGGAGGAGGACAAGGAACACTGTGTCATGACTCCAAAGTCACGGGAAGAGAGAGCCTTGAGAAGGAGTGGGTGGTGGGATCGAATGCTGCAGGGAGTCCCGGGGGCAGGGGGACCCCGTGAAGTCTCTCCTTTCAGGACGGGTAAGCCACCAATGACCTTTTAGAGAGGAGCGGGGACAGAAGCCAGAGGGAGTTGAGTGGGTGGCAAGGACATGCTAGAGCAGGTGTGGATCACTTGTTCAAGAAGTTTACCCATGAAAGGAGGGGGAAGTTAATACAGAAGCACCAGGGGACACGCTCCCTGGGCTGTGTGACTGGGCGCTGGGCCTCAGAGGACAGCACCTGCAATATGCCAGGCGCCAGGCTCAAGAGTCTGGAAAAAAATCTGAGGATGGAGGAGCCTGGGGGGAAATGCCACGGATCTTTGCTCAAAGCGAATGTCCCTAAAGCCACTCATTAAAAATACCCTGGCTGCCATCCTGCTTGGTCCCTGGAAGCTAAGAGCCCAGTGGCTGTTCTCACCCACTGTCCCTGATACCATCTGGCGACAAGTCAAGCGATTCAACAACTGTGTGTCCTGCCCTGAAACCGGAGAGCTGATGCTTACCTCCCGGTAATCTCCTGTCACTTTCCACCGCCCTCAAATGAGGCCTGATCTATGTATAGCTGGGGGCTGGCACGTGATGTGCCCGCAGGAGGCAGGGGAGGGGATGGCACAGCTACATCCTGAGACTCAGGTGAATGCTGGGGCCTCTGGGGCTGGATCAGTGGCCCCTGAAAAAGCCTTGGGGCGAGGGAGGCTATCCATTGTTCTATTTGGGGCTCTCACCTTGGCCAATGCCAAAGTGAAGACCCAAGGGCCAATGCTGTGTGTTCTTTCCACTGCCCCACGTTGAGAAACACCATAACAACAACAAGGATATTGGGTGTTTACTACCTGCTGGATTCTGCTCCCACACCTAATATAAACTACCTTATGGAACCTTCCCCAAACCCGCATGAAGTAGAAGTTTGCAGATGAGGAACTGGAGGCACAGAGAGGCTAACCAACTTGCCCAGGACCACACAGCATTGAAGTGACATCGCTGGGATTCCAACCCCAACATTCTGGTTGCAAAGCCCACGCTCTCACCCATTATATCAGCTCCCAGCACCTGGGCCTCACGGGGACCTGGGCCCACGACTGCTACTCATCAGCTGTGAGACTGAGCAGCTCACAACTCCCTAATTTCCATTTTCTAATTTAAAAAATGAGAGCGAATTCTTGCAGGAGAAGCATGGGTGCACGTGCTTAGTGTGTTCCCTAGAAATTCACCTCAGGTCACCCCAGGACCCCAAGCTTCGGTTCTGGAACCTGGAGGGAAGCCCGCCCTAGAGTTTCTGGCTCGCAGGCCCAGGTGGGACCCACGAAGCTGCATTTCTGACAAGGTCCCAGGTGGCGCCGATGCCGGCCCCGGGCCCACACACTGAGCACCCAGCTCTACAGCCGTCTCCAGCACACAGGCACGGTCTCTCGGTGCAGCCTTTAGCGACGTCCACACTGACTGACTGCGCGGGCTATTTCTGGAGGCCAGGTTTTTTTCTTTTTATCCCAGTGGATTTTCCCCCAAACACTTTCCTACATATTTCCCACCCTTTTAAACGTGAATTAATGTGTTTTCAAGCTCTTTC